AATAATTAATCAAATCAAGTATGACTATAGTGTAAGTAATATCATCATCTAATTTATATTAGGTGTAAGTAATTAAATAAAGAATAATACAAATAATAATGTCAGGTAATTAAAATGCCTGGAACTTTTTTTAATTTCATTTGTACAAACTTATCAATAACGTTTTGAAAATTAACACCGATTAMGGATGGCATAAAAACCTAATTTATCTAGATTCTTAGAGACCGTTCATTGCCAACAAAACGCGAATACATCTATTATTATAGTTAGAAAARTTAAATTTTTKAAATGTCCAAATATAATGTTCAATATTATTTAATTATATATGTGTAAATATTAGTATTTAATATATATTTATATATTTAATAAAATATTTTTTCTGTATCCTAATTTAAATATCATAACATTGGTGGGGCCCTGAATTTGTGGGGGCCCCTAGGCTGCAGCCCACTCAGCCCTCCCCTAAATCCGGCCCTGATACGCTTTACGCACCTCTTCAGCGATGTCGAGCATTTCTTTCTTCGTAGTTGTGCGTATGAGTTTAACCAATGTGACGCCGTGTCCTACGTGATCGGCGAGTACGAATGAATTCTATTCTGACCATGCTGTTCCACCGCAGTTCGGTGCGTCCAATGCGGCGRAAAACAAGCTGTTCTGTTTTTCGCCGCCCTCGCCGGATTCACGTAGGACACGACGTAACCTGAAACGCGCGCTACGAAAATCATCCATAAAAAAAGGTCCTGATAATAATTCCCATCATTCAATCGTGAATACCACTCCGACAGCCTTATAATTTTTTCGATAAATTAATAAATACAATTAAAATTTGTGCTTAATGTATAGTATCTCTACTTGACCAATAATACCTGCAGGYATTATATTATTAATTTTTATAATATTATAAACATAATCATATAGGACATGTTCTACATCTAATCATTTGTGTATGTATATGTTTCAATAAATTGTGTATTTAATTTATTGCGTTGCATTAAAATATTTAAAATTAAAAACCGGGAATTTATAATGCTATTAACTCCTATTTTATTGAAGAGAATTGATAATTTATATATTTTAAGACTTAATCTTTA